GCCACATCGCTCGGCTTCAATAGTCCTCGGCACGCACACAATACTAATGATTATAATAATATTATGGTATTATCATTACGACTTACGAGTGTACGATCACGGGTTGGCACAGAGACAACATACTAATAACAGTAATGACAGTTAAAACTTATGACTTTATAAGCTATAAGCTGCTGTCTATAATCTACGTCCTTTGACTCCTTAGTCCTTTGTAGTTTGTACGTGTTGACATGTTGTACTGCTGCCATGGCAGGTTTATGATGGGTATTATACTATAACTATAGCACGGCTGTACGACGCGTTAATGCTGTTCTAATGTACTATAATCTGTCTGCATTTTATTAAAAAAAAAAAACCAACAGTTACCATTGCAGAAATATAGGTATTAGACATTAGTGTATAGTACCACGTAATTAGATTAAATTTAAATGTTTGAATCCATTCTGTGTGCGAGTACTGGCCACTGGATACACAACTCTACTACGTTTTTATAAGGATTAAGTCAATACTCACTACTATAATTTATAGTAATTACCTACGTAGATAACTAATAAGTAATTAAATTATTCGTCCTGTGATCAGATTTTACATAGGTACTATCAAATTACGTAATACAACATGTCTATATACCTACGTGTTATACAAAATGTAAAACTATATTTTTATTTATTTAATTGTATACACAACGATCATAATACCCAAGCTCGATAACAGCCCTAAGACAGTAAATTTAGTAGATATTTTTATTTTGTATTAACAATAATTAAAAAACCGAATAAATTGTTAACACTGTAACACAATATGGTAAATACATATAATAATAATAAATTAAAAAAGTTATTAAATTTATTACATATTATGTACACGATACATTAGACATAAGTGTCTTATTCTGCGTTACTGTCACGTACCTAGTCGTCCATATAAAATACATGGTCAAATATTAATATTAAATATCACTATAGACAATCAATTAACCGTTGTCGGCGGATCTCCAGTACCTAGGTACTCGATGGCCGTGACTAAGTAAATTTTATTGTATAAAAAACGTGTTAATATTATGGTAAATGTATTTACTTAGTCGTAACAGTGGTGTAGTACCGTTTTATTCGTTACTCGATGATTATTTTAATTTTGATTCATAATTAATTAATTATCGATATCGTATCTAGATACCTATAATCAGTGGCGTAACTTGGAATCAATTTAGGAGGGGAGGGGGCAGGCAGTAGTAAAACTAAAAATACATTATTAAATAAATAAATAATACTTAGTAACTCAACATTTTTTTTTTTACATTTTAAAGCTGTTTAAAAGATATAAAACTCAACAAAATTATTAAAAATTATATGTATTACATACTAATTTATTTTAACACAACTCACAAGTCGACGACCACGAATGGATGCACCTTCTTCAAATTTGTCAATTATTTGATCAATGATACCTTGTCTATCTCTCTTAATATAACGCACTCAAAACGATAAAATAATCTATTATCCATTCTTATACAATGTATTATATGCTGTCTTATTTTTCTATGATAAAATAGAAATAGAATTATAACTTTTAAAGGAGGGTAAAATGATACTATTGCCCCTCTCTAACCCCTTCTCCCCAAATTACGCCTATGCGGCTATATAATAATTTAACATAATATTACATAAATAGTAAATACACAACTGTTCAGTTTTTGTTCTAGTTTTATATGAGACCACGATAGGCGTAATTTTAATGATTACCTATTTTAATTCGATAAATAAAAACATTTTCAAATTTATTAATAATGTATAACTCAAATAACAAGATGTTTAATGACAAAGGCGACAAGCCTTTACGTCGTGTCCAAGGCAAGCGGGCAATTATTGCTATTCTATTCGTGCTGTTCTAACGCGGGCGACACGACGAAATACAAGCTATTATTTCATATTATTTGTTTTTCGCCCGTTCGCCCGCATTCACGTTAAACATAGCGCAGCAATGGCGTGCCCAAAGTACGAGTGATAAAGTTCATTATATTAATATATTTATAAAAATGTTTGTATTATTATTGTTGTTTATACACTACTATTTCCGCATATGATGTGTATTAACACTACCTACCGAACACTTGTTATGTTATATAATAATAAAGCATACCAAGGAAACTTATTGGTACGTTACCTATAATAATGAGTCAAGAGTGACAAGTTGTAATAATTGCTCACATAATTTTATGATAAATGATTTAATGATTTTAAAAATCTCTAAAATAATAACAATGAACATTATGACATGTATAGTTTCTTGAGTTAGAAGAAGATGACAAATATTTTGGTTTTAGTTTTATGATGTACCAATTAATATTTAATATTTTATTTGACTTTTAATATAGTATAATTTTAAATACAAGTAGTATTTCTTGTATGATGAAATGATTTTTAAATTTAAAAATTTTTGACATTTTTTTAGCTACCTTCCTTTATAGCTAAATAGGTAGTTATCTAATTACAATGGCTCAACCAATGGGGATGTTTAATGTCTAGTCACTCCCTTTGGACAAATAACCATAGAAAATAATTTGGGGGAATCCCCACAATTATATACGAAACTAACAAATACCTCCATTAAAAAAATTCTAGTGACGCTATTGGTTAATTATATATATATTAATAAATAATATATATTGCTATATCTGCTGAAAGAATTTAAAGTTTATTAATGAGTGTAGTAGATATATTATAACATGACAGAGAATCAACATTTTGTAGTGACTAAACTGCCTACACTTCAATATCCAACGTGGGCATTTGTTGACAGAACCTTTTTATCATTGACGTAAATATGGATAAATAAAATGTTCTTGGGAGGGGGGACTAAAAATATTATTTACCTAATATAAATTATGTTAATTTACTTAATGTATAAGTTGGAAAAAATTCAGGAGGGGTCGCCTCAAAAGTTTTTTTTGGAATGAAAGATAAGTCTCACTATGCCCAATTAATGCCTTTGGAGCCACAGATACAAAATTACAACTATGCATTTATAGTTATTATAAATATTATAGAAACTTTAGAATTATTTAAATACTTATCAATTATCATTGTTGTTTGTCACTGTATGTAATAACTTATTTAGTGTTTACAATAAAATATGGTTAATGCCGAATTTTCGTCTAGGGATAAATTTTAATATTCACCCTATACAACCTTTGTAACCATCATACAAAAATTAATTATGTAAATAATAATACCATTAAAATTCCTATAATATTTGTTTTATAAAAAGTCATTCTAAGAAGTAGGATAGAATATAAGTTATTGCAAATGTGTCAATTTATGTTGTAATAGTTGTTCCATTCTTTGTATAAAATAGACAATAAGGAAAAAGTGTTTGAAATAAAATGGTCATCTTGAATATTATAAATTAGGTTTATTACAACTAGTTTTAAAAAGCTTAGTATAAATATGGTGTAGGTATGAATCGCGGCTTTATATTTTTCATTATTAATTAAATAATAGGTACAATATATTATTATTTAATTATTTTTTATTATTTACGTATACTAATTTATACAATTGTTTTATTATTTTTTTAAAATATAAATGTATAATTATTTTATGATAGTTTTACACTTTTTTTGTAATTTTGAATTTTAGGTGTCTTTTGGAATAATTAGTTCGTTTTTTTTTTTTTATATATTTTACTTTAGCTCATTTGTAAAACTCAGCACTATTTAAATTCATACTGTTTCGGTTTTCCATTCATAGTATTCATATTGATTAAAAAAGAAACTTTATAAAAAAATATTAAGCCTGATTTTATAGTCAATCAGACTTGACGAGAATACGACTACAAGGTAATAGTGTAATAAAAACAATTATTTGATACTTGGTAGTGAACAAATAAATAAGTTGAAACTTGAAAGTATAGAATTTAATAATTCGATGATTATAAATTATAATACATGTAAGGAATACAATAAACACGATTACGTGTCAGTGTGTGAACTCGTCTTCTACAATAGCTTTTAAGCTTTTAGAGATATGCCTTTTCTTATAATTGTATATAATAAGTAAAATATAGTATTTTTAACTTTAAAATTTAAAGTAAGTTTATTAAATATAGCGATATATTTAAAGAAATGTACTAAACATTAATTAGGTATGTAAACAATAGGGCATACAAAAATAGATTTCTAACCAAATAAATCATTGTATATTACTCATGCTTAAATTATAAAAAATTAAATTAATTCATCTTTTTTTTTTTTTTTTTAAATATTTACAATCTGTTATATTAAAACAATAAGTACTTATGTTACAAAATTATATGTATATTTTACACCATATGAATAACTTGAGAAAAATTATTCACTAACAAAACTTCAAAATTAATTTTAAATATTAATATAATAAGTTATTATTAAAAATAAATATTAAATAATAATTAATAGTATAAAAAAGACTCCCACAAAATATGTTTAACTTGTAAGAAGACAGGCAGTAACCATGATTTTTGGTATATCTTTTATCGTGGTATTAATCGATGATGGTATACGAAATAACTCCATCTATGAGAAAAATTATTTTGCGTCCAGCCAGTCATAATAATTTGTTACGTTTTTTTTTTTTTTCATTTGGATAATGATGAAAGACATTTTTAATTTATTATATTATTATCTATGATCTATAATGCATTTGGTGAAAAATGAGAATACACTTATCGATGTCTAAAAACTAAAAAGTGGTTACTACTTAGTATTAACTAATTTGGCAATAAAGTTCATAGATTTTTTGTATTTTATTAACTACAGTCGTAGTTTCTAATCACAAATATTATACAAGTTCCTATAGACATCTGTGTTTATGATGAAACACTTATCACTTATCAAGCAAAATGATAAATAGATTTCAAGAAACAGGAATAATTAATAACCGAATAAAACAGTAAACTACAATAGTACAGTAGTTTCATAATATTAAATTATACTCCATATGTTTATTATAAAATTAAACATTAATAATAATGTTTTAAATTATTAAATTATACAATTTAATTTTCGAGCTGATTGGTTATTTTAGTTAGTCAACTGATGTAATTCTAAAAAAATAATAATATTTTTCAATAACTTTAATTTTAGTTCATGTTCATAGCTCATTGTGTGTGTCATATTATTTTAAAAAGCTAAAACAATGTACTTTCCATGTATTGTGTTATTTTTAACCGGTTGTGGACTGATATTTGGTAAGATAAAATTATTTGATGTAATCATGTTATGTTTAATAAATATTTAAAATTATTTTAAAGCTGAATTGGAAGAAAATGTACATATTGATGATAGTAAATTTGGACCGTTGGAACAACCAGATTCTCCAAAAAATTTTACAACTGTACCACAAGTAACTGATTTTACCGATATCCTAACTATAAGTAATGCTATAAAAAGCTTTCAGGTAAGATTTTTATTTTCAAGATTTAAAATAAAAACTATCATTTAATTTTACAAATAAATTATTTAGAAAAAAATGGAACAAGAACATAATTACTTGCCAACTATGCAAGCATATTTAACTACAAGCACTGCTAGTAATGGTGGAAAAGAATTTAAATTAAGTACGTTTTTATCATCAGTTATATATGCTGAAATTGTTACTGACAATACAAATACCAGTCAACCATCCATTAATGAACCATTAGCCAATGTTACAACAGCTAATAATTCAAGGATTGTAAATTGTACTACAGTCGTACCTTTAAATCAAACAGAAATTTCAGTTGAGGTAATATTTTGTAAATTTAATACTATTATTAAAATATACACAAACATCATAAAATATTGTTGGTAAATATTTCATAAATACATGTAGCAAAAATTGTATTTATTTTTTTTTTCGGGTGAGGGGATAGGAATTCTTAATATATTATTTGTCTACTTAAAATTTTTCTTAGAAAAAAATGCCTTTACAAATTAAAAATATTCAAAATCTAAATTAGAATTTAAACATTCAATTCAAATTCAATTTTTTTTTTTAGATATTATTGAATATTTTTACTAGAAAAGAAAAGAAAAATCATGTATCTTTATTTTTCTAAGGGTGCATTATGATCATGTCTACTTTTTTTATTTTTTAAGAGATTATCCTTATTTTTACTATCTATTTTTAAAATTACAACTGTAAAAGTGTTATTTAATGTTTTGATTAGAAATTACCTATTAGATATAACTTAGTTACTAAGTCAATAATAATAATTTAAGTATAAAAAATGTGGGTAAATAATTTTTTAAATATTCATTAATATATTTAAAAATGGCAGAATAAATTATTTAGTTTTTCTTTAGGTTGTTAATTCATCACGACTTGGATATATCTTAAAATCTGATCCTGAAGTAAATAGTCGTCGTGAATCTGGTGTTTGTTCATTAGTGTTATTTTATGCTAGATCATGTCAATTCAGCACTCTAGCTGCACCTCACTTCAATGTACTTCCAAGAATATTTCCTCAAATTAAAATGGTAGCTTTTAATGCTATATCTGAACAAAGGTATATAATTTAATAAAAATATTAGTATTTAATATTATTTAAATCAAATATCAAATGTTAATTTTTACACATTTTTTTCTTTCATTTTAGATTTAACACAATGTATGGTATAACTGGAGTGCCATCATTAGTTTTATTCCATAATGGAAAACCTATTGCTAAGTACAATGGTTCTGATTATTCACTTTATGAGTTTACTAAGTTTGTTATTAGACATACAGGTATGCATGAAAATTTTTATTTATTATTTTTAAATATTTAGTTTTTGTTAATATAATAATTAATAATAAATAAAATATTTTATAAAAGTTTATGTTAAATGATAAATATTTAATATCTTTAAACAGAATTAGGAAAAAAAGGCTCTAATAAGTAGAATAAATTATCCTAAAATGTTTTTGTTTTTTAAATTAATTTTTTTTAAATTATTTTGATTATAAGGTTTGATAAATTAAAAATCTAAAAGTTAATACATATATTAAAAAAAGAAAAATAATAAATGGTTTCTGATTAATACATAATCTAATCATCCACATTTTGTTCTAAAACTTTAAAATAACATAGGGGCTCTAATAATATACTATTTTTACTATGATTCTCAATTATTATTTAAATCAAAAGCATATTTTTTCAAAAATTATGGTTCAAATAGGTATCAAATAACAAGAAAATAAAGGAGAAAAGTCAAGTGTTAGAACACTGATGTATATAATTTAAAAACATGATAAAAATATAATCAAATTATAACTATGAAGTAGGAAAATTCAAATTTGAACTGTAAAAGGTATACTAGTTTAATAGACATTAAGGATAATGGCTAATAATATTTAATTATAGTATTGTAGGCAATCATAATTTTTTTATTATTCATCCTATAATCTATATTATGATAAATATTGTATTAATAGTGTATACAATTATTAAATTTATAAGTCAAATTATGATCTAATTAATCTATATTATATTTTCAAAATTTTTTAGTTTTGTTAAAATTATCTTATTTTAGAATAAAAATAGTTTTGGTTTTGTATGTTATTTTGAGCTTAAAAGATATTTTCTTTTATAATTTTTAATGATTGTATTAATATTAACGTATTCAGCTACTTAGTTAGGTACTCAGTTTAATTTTTTTTTTTGAAATAGTTTTAATATAATTTTGTTAAATTTGGTTAAGTTAACTTAAACTATTTATATATATATTACTTACCTATAGGTTTTAAACATATGAAGTTCTGTGAGTCAAAAATTATGTATAGCTGAATAGTTTATTTTTGTTTAATGTATTATCTATAAGCTATTATTAAAAATATGCATCTAAATAATTTATTCTAATGTTAATAATAATAATATTTCACAAATTATATTGAAAAAAAAAATTTTAATTTTTAAACTATTAACACAAATGCATAATATACAACTTAATATTTTAATTAAAATGTGTATCACGTATAAAATATTTATATATTACTTATATAATTGATGATTTTATTTTGTTGTATTTTTTATATTTTTATCTTAAAAAAATTGTTTTAAAATATGTTTTGATTATTTTTTGTATAGATCTCACTCCAAATGAAAAAGTGGAAATTTCTGTGACAGACTTTGTAAAACCTGTTCCTGGATTTGGGAACCGTGATTATGATTATTCTCTCTGGTTAGCATGGTTTGTAATTATATTCTGGATGCTAGTTTATGTTAGGACTATGCAATTTTGGAGTACATTTGTTGAAGACATAAAGAATATATGGCGTGAAGCTGAAGCACAACATGAACATACAGATTAAGTTAATGTAAATATTTTTTTTTACTGTGTTATTGTTTTATTATTTTTTTAATTAATTTCTCGTTATTTTTATTTTTTAGTAATAATAATATGTATGTAAATAATTTTAAGTTATTTAAAATTAAATGGTACTATTTATTACATCAATTTTTATTTTTAAGTGTCATTTATCTAGTTTGGGAACCATTTGATATCAGGATATTTATAGTATTTTCAAAAATAGATAATAGTACTTTAATGCTGGGTAGGGGATATTACATTTGTTACACATTTCATATAAAATAGTATTAAGTGTTAACATCTAACATGGCGAAGTGTGATCAAATTAATTCTAAAGATTTAGAAATTAATAGTCATTGTGCAATTTGTGGTGTTAATGCTACTAGTAAATGTGCAGCATGCACATTGGTTGTGTATTGTTCAAAGAAACACCAAAAAGCTCATTGGAAACAACATAAAAATGAATGTGTATCTTATGAGGTAATTAAAAATCATTATTATTTAAACACAATAGTTATTATTTATTTTTTTAGTTACAAATAGATTCTATATTAGGTCGTCATCTGATTGCCAAACGTACTATTAATCAATCTGAAATTATAATTCAAGAAGAACCATTAGTTATAGGTCCTAAGTTTCCAACTTCAGAACCAATATGCATTAAATGTTTACAAAATTTAAAAAGATCAAGTTCTACTGTTGAATCTTTGTGTGAAAAATGTTTGTGGCCTATTTGTGGTACAGGATGTATGCCTTCAATTAACCCAAACATTCATGAAGATGAATGTAAAGTATTAGTAAAAGGAGCTGAAAAAATCGCCAAAAATAATGATTATATGTATGATGCTTTAACTCCTTTAAAGTGTCTATTATTGCAAATCACAGATAAAAACAAATGGAATCGTCTAATGGAATTAACGAGTCATATGGAATATAGAGGACCAGAATCAGAAATTTATGAGTAAGTATTATAGAAATTAAGTACTAAGTTTTCAAAAATTATAACTTTCATAATAACATTAATTAAATATTGATATTATTTTAGGGAGATTAATTCAGTGTATAATTATTTAAGAAATAATTATTTAAGTGGAGAAGAATTTGAAGCTTCGTCCGATCTTATACACAAAATATGTGGTATTTTAGATGTAAATTCTTTAGATGTTCAAGTTGCTGGATTGGAGTTAACTGGTATATATCCTACAGTAAGCAAATTAGAACACAACTGTTTACCAAATACTAGCATATCATTTGATAAAAATGGACGTATTTATGTTTATGCTGCTCGTAAAATTGTCAAGTAAAAACATTTAAATTAAAAATTAAATAACTAAAATAGTGAAATATTTATGAATATTAATTAATAATAGAGGTGAACATATAAATACTATGTACACAAATGCTTTATGGGGAACCCGAGAAAGAAGAGCTCACCTTATGTCAACAAAATATTTTGAGTGTAAATGTAAAAGATGTGCCGATGCTACAGAACTGGGTACTCATCTTAGTACTATTGTATGTAATGTAAGTTCTATGTCTTACTTTCAATATGGTTTAATAAATATATATAACTTCAAATATATAGTAAATATATTATATTATGTTTAAGGGTTAATACAATGATTAATAAATTTGAGTATTTTATAGGCAAAAGATTTTTGTAAAGGAAATCTCACTCCAATACATCCTTTAGATGATAATAGTAAATGGGAGTGTGATAGGTGTCCGACAACTGTTTCATCAGATAAAATTGATGCAATCTTAATAGAATTAAATCACATTGTTGATAAAGTTCTTCAAGTATATAATATTGAGTTAATTGTTAGTAAGAACAAAAATTATATTATTATATTATTTTAGAACCCAAGTATAAATTCCCTAGAAAATGCTCTTTCAAAATTAGAAAAACGTGTTCATTCAAATCACTATTTATGTTTTAATGTAAAACATACATTGATACAGCTGTATGGTCATTCAATGGGTTACAAACATTCAATGTTAACTGATGATTTATTGAAAAGAAAATCCGGTATGGACACTAAAAGAAAATTATTATTTCAATATTTAATATATTAATGTTATTAATATAATTTTGTAGAACTATGCAGAAATATGTTTTTTGTACTTAATATCATTGATCCACTGTATACAAGATTGAACATTTATACTTCAGTGATATTATATGAACTTCATTTGGCCTTGTTAGAATCAGCTACAAGAATATCAGAAAATAAAGCTGAAAGTAAAGGAATGCACGATGAAGCTAAAGTATTATTATCTAAAGCATTAGATATTCTTAAAAATGAACCAGAAGGATCTTCAGGTTTTAAGTTACTGCAAACTTACAAATCTAGTAGCATTACTGATTAATAGTATAAAATTTAAAATTAATTATATGATTATCTTATATTTATAAAGAACTATAAATAGATTCTAGTAACAAAGTCAATTAACAATTGTAGTTAAGTATTATTACCTACTAGTTTTTAGGTAAAAGTGTTATAAGTTATAACATATTATTACTTACATAATATGATAAACATGTATAATAATTTATTGTTATATTTTATAATTCATCTTTAACTAATTATATTGATTACCAAATAAAAAATAAAAATAGTTCAACTGTAGTAATTGTATTTGTTTAATTATTTCAGCAATTAGGTATCTAATAATCATGTATAACATAGTAAGTATAATTTTAAACATTGTGCTTTTAAACTACTGAACTGAACTACAAACTAAAAATTATAAGAATTTTAAATAAATAATGTGTACTAATCACTTGGTATAGTTATTAGTTCATGCATGCCTGATTAGAGGTGAGCTAAGACATTTTCAATGAAAAGGTTGAAGATGTTTTAAACAATTTTTTTATAGATAATTATCTTCTATTCATATTTAAGAAATGAATATAAGTATAAATACACTATAATTTGATATTTTATGGTTAAACCTACTTCCTCTGTGAAAACATCCATGTACCTACTTATATAACATCTATTAACCTATGTTAAATAAAAAAAAATAAAAATACGTCTAGCTTAAAATAAAATCGTTTTAATTGCTTTGAAATGTAATTAATATATTAGAATTTCTATAAGCAACAGAAACATTACCTCTTACGCACATAGAAAACTTAAATTTTAACTACGAAAAGTTCATACTACAATTTGATATTATTGTCTATTTATCATATATTCATATGCATATGCTTTATGACTTTATAAGGTACCGCCTAGCATATAATATCTCCCCTCCAGCAATATAACTAATAGCTACCTATACAGTATACATCGAAATTTTTCTATTGACCACTGTCAGCCAACATGTAGTCACAGCGGTGAAAGTGGACATTACATTGAAATTGAATCATAAAAATAGAGCCACGATGCATTTATTACAAGCAACTTCCTAACCTTGCAACGTTGCAACTAAACTATTTTGATTTGTGAATGGACTAATGAAGCTTTCATCTCAATCTCAAAATAATAGTAATGGTCACAGAAAATGTTTTATACCGAGACCCAAGATATGGTCGCTTTCAAAGAAGCATAATCATGTTACCTTATCAACAATTAGTTTTTCAATCAAGTAGGTACCTATTATTAATAGCCTCTGGTTCTTAAAGCTAAATTTATAAAATATCTTTCGACTCTCTTTAGTTTAATTTCAACACTCTTTGAACCAACTTTATTTTCCCGTATCTCATTAAGAAATATAGGGATAATCCTCCCTCCCCAATTAAAACCATTAAATAGGTATCCCTAAATATCTCTATTCCAAATAAAGAGTTCTTAAAATATATAATAATTAATCGATTCAAATATTAGTAAATACTACACAAGAGTCAATTCGTTACCATAACGATGACTAACGAAGTCGCTGTCTTGCTGATAAACCCTTGATCTTAGAACTCAATTTTCCACTATTATTTCTACGATAGATATTTTTAAATAACAAAAATAAATTATTACCTATAATAATTCTTGTATAGATATCCAATACCCGACATTTATATTAGTTATTAATTATTATTTTACATATACCTATCTATTTCTATGCAATAACACTAATAACTATAATACGTAAAAAAATATAAGTATTTATTTGTCCGTTATAGATTTAAAACCCACTGGATCGTTTTCAATAGGTACCTAACAGTTATATCATAAGATTGCTATTTGCTTGGATTCGGGATGATTTGTAGCTTTGTATTAAAATTTACAATTCATACAGGTCACTATGGGATAGATTGCATGCAGATTTTGTTTCATCTCACGAAAAACAAAACAAAAATTTGTTTACATTTAGAATTGCTATTGATTACAGACTACAGATAATAGATAATAGTTATTATGTTTGTACATAATTTTCGGCATTTTCGCCTTTCGATATAGTACCTAATACCTATCATAGTTTGGATAATTTAAATTAATAGTTATTTTATATAAATGTGAAATTGAGTAACATATATAAATATGTAGCTTTTTTTTTATAGGTAGGTATTTTTAGGTAAATATAACTACTATATATTATATAAGAGTTAAAGTGTACATAATTGAGGATTTTATACTAAAAATTACTAGATTGATTATAACAAAAAAAATTGAAAATATTTCAACTGAAGTAAAAAAATAATGATTAATAGATCATTCATAAATTTCATAATAATATAGTAGTCGACTAATAAAGATAAGTAGTTACTGTTAGTCAAGTTATATTTATTTGCAAGTTGTAAATCAATAGTTTTTGAATAATTGACATCAAATTTTGCACACATCACAATATTTAGGATGTTGGTTGTGCAGAATAACTATATAAGTATCTATTAATAGGTTCTAATTAGAATAAAAGCCAAAGATTACAGCTATTATATTTGTAAAAAAGCTAAATTATAAGGTTGAGGCTTATCACAATTTATTATTATAGATTAAAAAAACACCTGACTGATTTTAAATTTTAATGATTCAACTATTCAGGGAAATTTAGATCAGCGTTTCCTAACCTTTTTCCCCCGCTGTACACTAATCTCAACCCATATTCAGCCGCGGCACACTTGTCACTGACTTTATCTCATATATAATATGGTATGTCATATGTATACAATGTATACATATTTTTTTTATAGTATAGACTTTCTTCACATTAATTATTAATACTAAAGTAGTTGTATATCAGTATATTACTAGTAAACAATTTTAAATGGTGTGTTTATTTAGGACAGGAAAAAAAATATTACTACAATTTTATTATCATAAATATTTCATTTATTGAAATGGAAAAATAATCTACATTATAATTTTATAAAAAACCCAAACTTTATGAGATATTTGGGACTGTTTTCCTTTTATTATGATTTATGATTTTATGAGCTTCCTTCGTGGTCTAATGGTTAACAAGCACACCTTCTTGTCGCCTGCCAAATTGTTTTAAAAATATTTTAATCAATTATTGAAATTTTACGGTGAAATTTTAAGGTACGCTTATAGAGGCCTCACGGCACACCAGTGGGCCGCGGTGCACCGGTTGGGAAACACTGATTTAGTTAATAGATTGAATTAATTTTTATAAGATGGCTTATTCGTTATAAATAATATTAAAATCATAACGATATATTCGTTTATTTTTGTTTGCATTAAGTTAGGTACCTACGTATAAGAAAATAAAGTATCTAACTTATTAATATTCGCTTCAGAGTTCAGATGAACGATCATCTTTGTATCATTTAATTCAGGATAACGATGGGTAATACAGATATCTAGTATAAATTTAAGATTAAATATTTATTAAATTATACAATCTGAATTCATCACGGTATTTTTTTTTTTTTTTTAGCTATATTAGTTTACAGACTAAGTTAACAAATAACACAAAAATTAAGAAATACATGATAAAAAATATACAAATTACAAATCTATAATATGATTAAGTCAGCGTTCAAAAAATTAACAAGGTCTCCAACTCTGAGAACTTAAAAATTAAAATACCTTTACTACAAAATATATTTTTTTAAATGCAGATTTTATTAAAAAAAAAAAAATCATGGAAAGATCACATAGGTCCATGGAACATGAAATTAATCGATACTACTATCGACTCTAAACCATTGCGCGTGCGCATTGTTGTATTTTGTAATTTTTTTTTTTATTTTCATGCCGTCCATCGCTTGTGTCCTGTGTGCCGTATGTGTATTTGTAGCGTTCGTTAGTGTGTAAATGCGTACGTGCGTATGAGTGTGTTTTGTTTACAATATACATATTTTTTTTATTATTATTTAATACATACAAGATCACCCACTCCGTTGAGTCTATACCTGTGCAGACGTACAGTATCTTAGTACACTTATCTTTTTGAAGTTTCGATGTTAATTTTCTAGTTCCGTTGTTTGGTTGAAATTCTCCAAGTCCTGTGAAATGCGACTGATGCCAATTTCATATATTATGATGTCGTTGGTCCCCGTGCGTTGAAATAAAAAACGGTTGAAGTTGGTCAGATGCATTCAGTATTTCAGTAGTTGATTACGCCTACGACGCTTAACATGCAGGTATAATGATTATTATTGCATAACAAAATATTATGATTTATAAACTATTTTCTTAAATACCTTTCAGTTGTTATAATATATCAATACTATTAAAGTATATCCCTTAAATATTAACTGTCAGGCGGTCAAGTGACTGGTTTTGTACTGTTCCAGAATATTTCATTATCAAACAAATTTAATTCAAAAATTAATCGAAATTGGTCATCTATAGTGATGGGTGCTATTGGGTTTTTACAAAAATTATCATAACAATTTTACATCTTCTCAATGGGACCGATAGAAACGGTATTTTTCAATATTTTTAAGTAATGCTTGAATTTTATATTATCTATACTTAAAGATTGCACTTATGTACAAAGTATACCTAGTTTAAAAATGTCAATAATATTATATATATGTATATATGTTTAATATTTTTTATCATTTATTTGTATTTAGTTATTAATAATTAAGTTTATCTATTATACTTTTTTAATGTAAGTGATCTGGTGACAAATATATTGTATATTTATTGGAATTATATTTTAATAGTCTGATGATTCATACTATATTACACCAGAACTTAATTTTTATCAGAACAATATTAAAAAGATTACTTTACATGTTATTTAAACTTTGATTTAATTAAAGATTAACCTATTTTAAGTACATTATGCATTTATGCTTATAACTTTACTACTTAGTAACTGTATTTCAGTCTTCAATTAACTTCAATAAATAAAAATGTCATCATACCTAACTAATTTTCCATATATTATGTATAATAATATGCACATATGCAATGTATTTCAGGTTTTATATAAATTTTGGTTTCAAACTACCTAAATCAATATAAAACATTTTTAATATCAGAAATTTATCTGTTTCTAATGTTCCTATTATCTTTATTATTTATATAATATACTTGCTTATTTTTGATTTTAATCATATCTAGTTTA